GGTTATTGCTCAAAACCTATTAAACATAGGAGCTTCAGATTTCTTTTGTTGTTTAGCTCTGATGAAGGGCTATCCATCAGGCCCTCCTCCACTTGAAGCACTTGGATAATCGACTGTGTAGACACTGACTATGGTTTTTTTTATCCATTTTGTATTATTAGTGTATTGCCTTGAATTTTTGCTGTGCTAAATGGATTTTTATTATTTTGATTCATGCTTTTATCATATTTTTAGGATTTATATTGTTTTTATTCTCTTTAATGAAAGTAACTTGTTGTTTTGTGTTATTGTATTTATATCCATAGGACCTTGAGGGACTACAGATTAAAACTAGCCTCCATGACTAATTCTGGCATTTTTTTGTAATATGCACTGTCCCTTCTTCAATAAATAAACAACAACAACAACAACCAATCAGTGCCCACCCCCCACCCCCTTCGGACCCCCCAATTTATCTGAAAAAGGGGTATCTGGACATACAAAAATGGTTATAGCTCAAAAACTATTAAACATAGGAGCTTCTGATTTTCGTTGGTTGTTTTAGCTCTGATGAAGGGCTATCTATCAGGTCAACCAATGTCCCCCCCCCACACATACACACACAAAAGGACCCCCACCCAAACCACTAGAATGACATTTATTAGGAATAAAGACTTCTGAGTTCTGGTGCATTTGTGCATGCAGGGGTCATTATGTTACTGCTATGTGGTATCTAGTTTATCTGAAAGGGGCCATTGCAATTTAATAAAACACATGACAACTCATAACTTAAAAAAGGTAGAACTAGCCAAATGACTATTTTTTATCCCCAGGCCATGATTTTTTAAAAAGCAATAAAATACAATAATATAAAAACAATAATGGCACACAATGTCAAGAAATTAGATTAAACCCATCCTGACACAGAAACAGATTAAAAATAAACTGCTAAAAATAAAAGCAATGCAATAAAAACATACAATATGCATCAACTAGTTTTTATTTAGTGTTGACAGATGTGTGAATCAAAAAGCCATTTTTTAAATGTTTAGTGAAAGTCTCATAGGTTGTTAATTGTCTGATTTCATCTGGTTGTGAGTTCCATTCCTGGGCACCTTTCATAAACCAAGTTGACTGAAACATTTTTGCCACCTCAGTGGARATTACATTCCTGAGTGAATGAAAATTTGCTAGATTCAGCTCCATTATTTTACACATCTTATCAACATGAGTTTTAAAGGAAAGATTGGAGTATATTTTAACTGGTTACCAGTCAGCAACTTTTCACCTGCGACCCATATATCAAGATCATGGGAGCATCTTGGTTTTAATGATAACATGCTGACTGTTTGAAAATGTTCACCTGTTGATAACATTCTTCCAGCCATGCTGTGACATGATTCATTGCCTTACTGAGTGTGGCTCCAACATTGTCTTTAGAATAACTGTGAACAAATAAACACATCTTCTGCATGCATGATACATTCAACTTCAGAAGGTAAATCATTAATATGAAGATTAAGTAAAAGTGGACCAATAATTGATCCCTGTGGAACACCTGTTGACACTTTAAGTAACTCAGATCTGTAGTTTTTTCTCCATTTAAACTGAAAATCCAGAGGCAGGGGGCATCAACAGCAAAGGAATCATCCCTAAAACTCACAGCTTTTCAATTAAATCTGCACTCATAACAAAACTAAATTTTACTGTTATTTTTTGTACTTTCCAGGTACTTTACAATATATGGCTCCTGAAATTATAGACAAGGGTCCACGCGGATACGGTAAACCGGCAGACATCTGGTCTTTGGGCTGCACCATCATAGAAATGGCGACCGGTAAACCACCTTTCTATGAACTCGGAGAACCACAAGCTGCCATGTTCAAGGTGAGAAATCTCATACTGAGAATCAGAAATCTCTACAGATTGTTGCAATAAATTTTATGTGTATAAATCAGGTTTTATTATATCTTTGATTAAGAAAAGTAACCTATAATGTTTTATTGTGAACAACATTTGGAACATGCTCATCACTTTTGACCCACCTTTTTATTGTATTTAAAGTGGTGACAAATAACATCCCCCTCCTTCCTGTTTGTATTGTACAGTATTACATTAATACTCCTGCTTGGAGCTGGATAATCCTGTCTGCCCTGCTGTCAAACAGTTAGCCAGATTATTTACAGTGAAACTGAAAATGCTGTCTGGTGTGTGTGTGAACACAAAGTAAAAGCTTCTTTTCTCTTGTGTGTAAAGAATATCATTCACAATATTCCCAGATGAGGTGTGACAGATGAAAACAAAAACAGCTGATGATCACCTGCTGTCAGTATGAATAAAAACTGTTGTGAAAGAATTTGCAAAGCCGAGTATTGATGCTCAAAAGTCAGCCTCAAAAGCTAAAACAAAATGAAAATTATTTTACATTCATCTATCCTTTTTATATAGATCCACTGAGTCTTTTTATTGTCCAGAAAATAACATAACTCCATGTGTGTGTGTTTGTATGTCTGTTAGCAAAATATTTCCTGAACTACAGGACAGATTTTATTGAAACCCTATCAATGGATATCCATTTATAGCTGGGTAATCTCTGAAGTCAAGACAATTTAAGATGGCTGCCAAAATACAAAAAGCTTAAAAAATCTTATTGACCTTAGCCAAAACTTACTGTAACTCTGTTAATGTTACAGATACTGAGCTAAAATTTGGTGTAGTTGTAGTTGAGTCATCCCTATCATATACTTCAAGCATTAAGAGATCATGCAAGATTTTTGTTCAAAGCTTTAACAAACAAGGCAGCAAGTTGTTTGTTTTTTGGTTGAGAGTAAATTAAACTTGGAAAAATTAGATTTTAATTTTGTGATTTTCATAGGGCACTGTGGAGTGTGAAGGAGGACACATAAGCTGATTTCCAACCAGTTAACTTTATTCCTTCAAAAACTAGAATGGCAGAACAGAACCACATTCTACTCTGGGGGTTTAGAAAATGCTTTGAAAAAACTACTACTCATTTAGKCTAGTGCAATAATGCCAAATGCATTTTTAGCTCAGGGATAGGCAACTGGCTGCTCATGGGCCACATCTGGGCAATGGGTAACTTTTGTCTGGCCTGCCAAAAAAATATAAATAGATTTTTTTTTTACTTGAAAAGAAAGTACTCAACTAAGCTCAACGTAATTTAAATAAAGTTACTATACACAAGGTAATATCAAATAAAACTAGATACCACATAGCGGTAACATAATGATCCCCGCACGCACAAATGCACCAGAACTCAGAAGACTTTATTCCTAATAAATGTCATGCTACTAGATGCATCCCAAAATTGTAGTGGTTTGGGTGGGGGTCTTTTTTATTTGGTTGGGGGCACTGATTGGTGGGCCTGATGGAAAGCCCCTCATCAGAGCTAAAGAACAAAAGAAACCTGCAACACTGCGCAGAAAATTGACGTAGTTCAAAACTCCTCCTTCTGTTTGCTGAMTGGCCCAGGTAAAATAAACTACAAGCAGACACTGCACAGAAAATCAACGTCCTGTTCTCTGATTGGCCTGGATGAAAATTCTCCTGATGAAATCCTTGTCTATGGGAGAAATCCCAGACYGAGCAGTGAAGGGAAACTAGAATTGAGTGGAACTGCGTAGGAAGGCAAGGGRCAGGCTACTTTTACCCTGATTTATTTGATTTTGTCTCCTTTGTCGGCAGGTGGGCATGTTTAAGATCCATCCAGAAATTCCAGATTCCATGTCGCTGGAGGCCAAAGCCTTCATCCTGCGCTGCTTTGAGCCTGATCCAGACCGGCGTGCCACCGCCTTCGACCTGCTTACCGATGAATTCCTCACTGTAACCAGCCGCAGAAAGAAGAACAAGAGCAACCTCAGTGGTGGGTTTGGTTCACAAAGCTGAAGCTATCTAAAATCAGTGTGTTGTGCTCTCGATATGTACTTGGAAATTGGAATTTACAAGTTAAAAGTGAGAAAAATCAACTTTTTAATGTGTGTAAATAGTAGTAAACTAGATTCACAGATGGTTTTGTCATTGGGAATGCTAACGTAGATGCTTATTTTGATTATATTATTAACACCCATATTTGAGAGGAAAGCTTGTTGGCTTTGCTTTAAATAAATTTAAATATAAAGACACATTCCCAAAAACTTAAGCTTTTAATTCACAAAGCATTGTGTTAAAATGATTGTTTTTAGAATTTCTCAGTAAAAAAATTAAAACAAAAATTGATCTGAAAATGAGTGACCATCAGTGTAAAGCATACAAACAAAAAGCATCCTTAAAAGCCACAAGAACTTTTGCAATTTTGAGGCCCTAATAAATGTGATGATTCATCAACTATGATGTGACAAAAACTAAGGAACTTTAAGTTTAAAATATCCAGAAGAGAAAAAGATTAGATGTCACCTAATCTTATGATCACTGCTCATTGTTGACCGTTTCATGCAGCTTGGTTTGTGTTTTTAAAAGCAGTAGCTACATTTTTCTTGTTTCTTCACATGAACTGAACTCACCCACAGCTCAAGTCATGTGCTCTGTCACCAGTGAATGAGATTTAAAAAAAGTTGATTTAATGCTTTATTGTTATCCTGACAATTGTTCCTGTGAATCCTCTTCTATGTTCTTATTAAACTGCTGACACTCATCTTTCTGTTTTTCCTCCCATGTAGCTCCGACCTCAGGATCAGGTGAGTTCATTTAGAATTTTGTGTGCTCATTTCAGACTCATTTATTACATCTTGGTCTGTTTTGTGAACACAGGCAGATTTATGAAACAGCGTCTACTTTGCAGAGTCTCAGCTGCAGTTTACAGTGTTTACCCCTGAACTTTCTACACGGTTCTCTTTTTCCAAGAACTCAAAATAGATGTTGAGCAGCTAAATGTTTCAAGGTGCTTGAGAGTGTTTAAACACTGCTTTGTAAATTAAACACGACTTGTGTGTGGCACCAAGTGTAAAATTGGATTTGGATTGAATTTAAATAGGAAATCCCACAGAAGTTACATTAAAACTAAAATTGCAAAATCAATTGCAGTTTTATACAAGGCTAAGGAAGTATTTAATGATGAAGCATTGCTCTTATTATATAAGGCCATCATTGAACCTCATTTAACTTKCTGCATTGAAGTTTGGGGAAAAGCATATAAACATTTACATATCCTGTTTTTGTTTTGCAAAAAATAGCCGTGAGAATTTTGACAGGAAAGCATTGTTATCATCCGTCTAATGTTTTGTTTAGTCAGTTAAGATTATTGAAGTTTTATGATCTGGTTAATTATAGAATTTTGTTGATGATGTATAAAGCTCATAACAATGCTTTACCTTCTGAAATACAATTTTATTTTACTAAAAGGAAAAGTGTTTATAATTTGAAAGGATTCGGGATGTTTGTTTTACCAAAAATTAGAACAATCTTGAAAGAGAGACGTACTTCAGTTCAGGGTATCAAATTATGSAATAGTTTAGCAAAGAACCTCAAAACTACTGGTTCTATTCATTCATTTAGAAGAAGGGTCAAAACTTTGTGTCTGAAAAGTTATGGGCAGTCTATGTTTGAGTAATTTACATTTGTTCTTGTTTTTTTTTTTTGTTTTTTTTTTCTTTCTCTCGGC